AAAAAAAAAAAAAAAAAGAAAGAAATGAATAGTATAAAGGAGAAATAGATGAAGAATAGGGAAAACTTCCCTGAACAGCTAATAGTAAAATAATACTAGGGGGATGAATAGTGGTTACCCAGAGAAATGGGAAGAGCATTCCAGATTTGTGATTACAGATCAGTTTACAAAAGGCCTTAGAGAAGAAGTTAAGCAGTGTAGCTGGTGAATAGTTAATGGTAATAAGAGTGTACTAATTTACCACCTAGTGCAGAAACTGTGAGAATAACCCTGTGGTTCTCCATTGGGGGTGATTTTGCCATCCTCATCCATACTCCTACCTAAAAGTAAAATGAAACAAATTATAGAATTATTTTGAAATTCTAAACAAATAGTTTATACTATTTATAAAATAGTAGGGATTAATAACTAAATATTTATAGTAGGGATTCGTTACTATAACTTAATTCATTACCATTAATAACTAAATATTTATAGTAGGGACTCATTTATATTTATAGTAGGAATGAAGGAGTTGGAAAACTCACCAAAGATTATGGCTACAATGGATGAAGTAACCTACAGGTATTTCATAAATGGTTCTGGATTCATCTTTATGCAGTCTGCTCAGGGGACTTTTGGCAACTTCTGGAGACATTTTTGTTTGTCACAACTGGGGATGGGGGTACACTAGTGGTATCTGGTAGGTAGAGACCAGAGATGCTGCTCAGCATCCTACAATGCACAAGACTAGTTTCCCACAACTAAGGATTATCTGGCTGAGGGTGAGAAACCTTTGTATAAATGCAGTTACAACTTTAACATGCCACCCTAGATTATTGGAAGTTAAAGGATTAATACATGAATTGTATTCACCAGGTCCTAGTAAATAAGCAGGTATTTAGTGATTATTTTGTTCTCTTTCTACCCATATCTGTGGGTATTTGGAGCCTTCCAAGCCATGACTAATTAATAAATCTGTATTTACTTAAACTCATGTCTGACTGTTTTTAAGCTGGTAGTGCATTATTATGAGTTGTGTTATATTGTTTCTGTCTTTGTTCTCTACATGAGAGGTCAAAGTTGGTAGTAGCCCTATTAAATTTGGCCTGGGGACACGTTTTGTTTACACAAGAATCCAGATTTCTGGCTTCTAAAAAACTAAGACCATCTGGGCCTGAATTTTCACCTAGGAATACAAAAACCTTACTAGTTGTGCTTCCTTTGCCATGATCTCTTCTCCCAGTTTGACAGTCCCCACTTCAGTGGTTGTCTAGTAACAGACCTGCTTTGCTAATTTTAGTGCTCAAGCCCTGTATTCATCATGCCTTCCCTTCAGGAATGAAGGTGATTTGGAGTTCTTGGTATAAGACAAACCTTGACGTAGCTCCTTTGTTGCAAAGTGATATTGAGTTCAAAGAAAAGCTGTCTGGGACTTATTCCCAAATTTTGTCAGAAAGCTTTTTTTTCCTCCTTAGGCAATTCTGTGAGTGGTTTTCTTGGAGGCAAGTCTGGTGTACTGCTCAAAGTTAGTTTATTCATCAGAGAAGATAACAATGTAAATTCTAACTTCACCAAGGCACAAGTGGATTTCACACTTGATATACTTCTTCCCAAGTAGGCTTTGGGCATAGAGAATAAGCAAACAACTGCAACAGAACTGAAAACAGGAGTACTTGGTATTAAGAAGATTTAGCTTACTGGGAGGTATATTAGACAGGAACCTTTTAGATTTATTGATATATTTAATTTATTACATCATAAATAAATATTTATGTAAATTCTGTTAGATTGTGTGTAAATGTGCCAAAACATTGTTATTTCTAGTGAAAACACAGGCCTGAAGACAGTCAAAGAGGAGGGTGACATTCCATTTGAAGACCTTCAAGATGTGTCTGAGAAGAAGGGTGAAGGTGAGGCAGAAGAGGAGGAGGAGGAGGAAGAGGAGTATGATGAAGACGATGATTGGGACTGGAATGAAGGAGTTGGAAAACTCACCAAAGGTTATGCCTACAGTGGAGGAAGTAACCTACAGGTATTTTATAAATGGTTCTGGGTTCATCTTTATGCAGTCTGCTTTTTTCTCCTTTTTTAAAAAGAACATTTTGTGATTCTAGAGTTGAACAACTGAAAGATTTTCTTCAGGTTATATTGTCGTATAACCCAAGCCTGTATTGATTTTTCACTCTTTATTCTTTTATATTTCTGATAATTTGCTGGGTGGGGATTCTTTCCAGAATTAATACATTAAAAGAGTTATTTAAGGGCAGTGCCTGTGGCTCAGTGGGTAGGGCACTGGCCCCACCCACCGAGGGTGGTAGGTTCAAACCCGGCCCCAGCCAAACTGCAACAAAAAAATAGCTGGGCAATGGGGTGGGTGCCTGTAGTCCCAGCTCAGGAGGCTGAGGCAAGAGAATCGCCTAAGTCCAGGAGTTGGAGGTTGCTGTGAGCTGTGTGACGACGCGCACTCTACGTAGGGCCATAGAGTGAGACTCTGTTTCTACCAAAAAAATAAAAATAAAAAAAGAGTTATGTAAGTTATCATAAGATCATGACCTTAAAAATCTGTATAGGAAAAGACATGAATAGGCAGTTTATTATACATCATTAATTGGGTTTTTTTGTTTGTTTGTTTGTTTTGAGACAGAGCCTCAAGCTTTCCCCCTGGGTAGAGTGCTATGGCATCACAGCTCACAGCAACCTCCAACTCCTTGGCTTAAGTGAGTCTCCTGCCTCAGCCTCTCAAGTAGCTGGGACCACAGGCGCCCACCACACCTGGCTATTTTTTGGTTGCAGCCGTCATTGTTGTTTTTGGCAGGCCTGGGCTGGATTCAAACCCACCACCTTAGGTGTATGTGGCTGGTGCCTTAGCCACAGGCGCCGAGCCATAAATCATTAATTGTTAATGAGGTGAAAAAGTTCAGCCTCAGTATTTAAGGAAACACAGATTTATTATGTACATATGCCATGTTTTCGCCTATAAACAAATATAGAAAATATGTCATTGATGGTCAAGTAAATAGATGTAATTGTTTGGAGAATAAATTGGTATGTGATAAAGATTTTAAAAACTTTTATTCAACAATTCTAGGGATGACAAGACAAATTACAAAAATGATCTTCTAGATTGTTTATGGTAGAAGAACATCCAAGACGACCTTGAGCCTGGATTAAATTTACTATGGAACTGATTCACATAGTGGAATATAAGGCAGCCACTGAATGTGTTGCAATAGAAGACTATGTGAATGACATGGGAATATGTTCATGATCTGCCATCATCTGCCATGTGCAAAAACTAGTACCAGACTGTGTAGAGTGTGCAGAGCCTGCTTCTCAAACTGGAAGTGCCAAGTATATGAGGAGTTTGTAGAGCTATGGGATAAACATGGTATATCTTCCTGGAGCATAAAGATTATTGAAAGATACGGAGGGGAGAAAAACTATGACTGTTAAAACAGCCATATCATGGATCAGAATGCATGCATTCTTTAAAGAACAAAAGGAATTTTACAGTTATGGTTTTGTTTTGGTAATGCCTCTGTTGACAAATGGTGAAACTTTGAGCAATTTCAACCCAGAGTGTAATCCCTTTTAAGAAAGTTAGAGGAAGAAAAATCAAAAGTATTATATACCTAAATGTTATCTTTGGGTACTAGGATTATAGGTGAATAAAATTTTACATGCATTTTCTGTGACTATGTGTTATTTTAATTTAAAAATTATTTTAAAGTTAAATTTAAGGCTCCATGCCTGTGGCTCAAGTGGCTAAGGCGCCAGCCACATACACCTGAGCTGGCGGGTTTGAATCCAGCGCTGGCCTACCAAAACATCTTTGGGTACTAGGATTATAGGTGAATAAAAT